CCGGGTCTGGGACGCGAACCGCAGTCGACTACATGGGAGTCCAACAACATAGCCATTACGCTAACTGCTGGTTCCCGTCACCGGTGTGAGTTTTAAGCTGCCCAGTCTGGGATGTGAACTGCAGTCAACTGTGTGCGAGTCCCGACTTAACCATTATGCCACATGCTGGACCCTCCTAATACACATTTGAAATGAACTTTTTCAAGACTCCTTTGTTTCCTTCCTTCCTTCTTGTTTCTCTGGATTAATGTTACTCTTTCCAGTTTCCTAAGTAGAATTTTTATGTCTCTTACTATATTCGTTTGTTAAGGCTGTTGTAACAAAGTTCCATCACTGGATGGCTTTAAGCACAGGCTGGAAGTCCAGGGTCAAGGTGTGTGCTGTGTTGGTTCCGGCTGATGGCAGTGAGGGAGCATCTTCTCCATGCCACTCTTCTGCTTCTGGTGGTTTGCTGGCCCTCTTCGGTGCTTCCTGCTTCTAGATGCCTCACTCCAATCTCTGCCCTCATTCACATGGTGTTCTTCTATGCTTTCACATTAACTTCCCTCTATGTGTGTCTGCATCCAAATCTCCCCTCTTTATAGGAACACCAGGGGATACCCTATTCCAGTATGACCTCGTCTTAACTAATTACGTCAGCAACAACCCTATTTCCAAATAAGGTCACATTCTGTGTTTTGGGGGTTAGGTGGAAGTTAGGACTTCAACATATGAATTTTGGGAAGACATAGTCCAATTCATAACATTGTGATGTTCAATTTTACATGTCAACTTGGCCAGGCTATAGTGCCCAGATATTTGGATAAACATTACTATTAATGTTTTCTGTGCAGGTGTTTTTTGGATGAGATTAACATTTAAATTGGTAGCTTTCGGGACCAGCAGTTGGTGTAATGGCTATGTCGCTGGACTCCCATGTAGTCGACTGCGGTTCGCGTCCCAGACCCGGTGGCTTAAAACTCACGCCGGGCACGTGTGCGTGCGTGCCCAAGATCCCGAGAGAATGGAGGAGAAGGGATTGTGGCGTGACCCTCCCCCCGGGGGGGGTGATTTCTTGCTTTCTGTCCCTCTCTCTCTCTCTCTGTCTTTCTGGCACACGCACGTACCCTATAAAAAAATAAAATAAATAAATAAAACTCTCCAAAAACAAACACAATTAAACTGGTGGTTTTCTATTTTAGTAAAGCAGATCACCCTCCAGAATGTGGGAGGGCCACTTTCTTTTTTCTTTTTTTTTTTTAGAGAGGTTTTTGCCATAGGGCACATCACACCAGGAGCCCCTTCCTCCAGCCCTCCAGCCCGCTGGATCTTGGGCACCCAAGCGCTTCCCCAGTCTGTTTCAGGCTGACTGAGCTGGAGATTCGAGCCACGATCACTATGTTGGATCCAGCTTCTCATAAGCAGCACTTTATTGCTGTGCCGTGGAGACAGCCCAATACGTTCTATTTTCATTGCCTTTCAACTAGAGACCATGTCCCATATAATATGACTCTTAGAATTTATTGAGGCATGGTCCAGTATATTCTTGTAAATGTTCCCAGTGTGCTCAGAAAGAATTGCTCAAGCCTATTAATTTTATTCTTCAGCTCTTGTACATTTCCACTTAAGTTGTGGATTTACTGGTGTTCAGTAGAGGTTTTGTTTTGTTTTAGAGAGATTTTTGCTATAGGGCTTATGCGCTCACCAGAGAGACAGAGAGATGGAAGCGGGAAATCACTCCCCAGGGAGGATGGCCACATCACAATTCCTTCTCCTCTAAGGGTTTTTTGGGCACTCACACACACGCACCCAGTGTGAGTTTTAAGCTGCCAGGTCCAGGACTCAAACCATGGTAGACTACATGGGAGTTTAGTGATGTAACCATTATACCATCTGCTGGTCCCACAATAGAGGTTTTTACTTTAAAGAATTATCGTATTTAACTTTATTTATCCATTTATTCATTTTTTCAATTTGACCAGAGAGGGACACAGGGAGAGAGAGAGAGGAAAGTGAGTGATAAAGTGAGAAAGCAAGCTGCCAGGTCTGGGACTTGAACCACAGTCAGCCATATCGGAATCCAGTGCCCTTAACCACCACGCCACCTGCCAGCACCCCCCCCCTTTTTAAACAATTATTTATTTATTTAATTCCATTTGTTATTATTTTTTAAATTTGACCAGAGAGAGAAAGGGAAAGGGAGAAAGCAAGCCACCAGGTCCAGGATTCGAACCATGGTCAGTCATGTGTGAATCCAGAGACTTTAACCACCACGTCACCTGCCAGCCCCTCACAATAGAGTTTTTTTAAATCTCCAACTAAAATCACTTATTTTCCCTACTTTTCTTTCTTTTTAATTTGCTGGAGGATACATGTGCTCACTGGAGAGAGAAGGAGAAGGAAAGGGAGAAAGCACTCCCTGTGAGGGATGGGCAGACCTTAGCTCCTTCTCCATTTCTCCTTTCAGAATTTTGGGCACACAGGCCTGGACTAGTTTTCAAGCTGCTGGGTCCAGGACTCAAACCACACAGTTGGCCATGTGGGATCCAGCCGTCTTAACCACCACGCCACTAGCTAGCCTTCTCCTTGCTTTTCTGTCAAATGCCACTTTATGTATTTTGAGGCTATGTTATAGGGGCATGCGTTCTTGTATGATAATTATATCTTTATGTGCAATTGATTTTTTAGTACATAATATCCACCTTGTTCTTTATGAATTTTTCCCTTGATTTCCATTTTATTTATTACTAAAACCACCACCTTACCTTCCTTTACATTCAGTGTGGCATGTAATTTCCAGCCTTCTTTATTTTTTTGTCTCTCAGCGTTTAGTATTTTTAACTTGTCTCTAAATAATATATTGTCTGGGGGCTGGCAGGTGGTGTGGTGGTTAGGGGCGCTGGATTCCCACATGGCTGATCACGGTTCAAGTCTGGAGCCTGGCAACATTCTCTCTCTCTAGCTCGCTCTGTCCCTCTCTGATCAAATTAAAATAAATAAAAATAAATAAACTTAAATAAAATAATATATTGTCTAATTTATTTGCTATTCTTAGACTTCTTTTAATTGGTAAGCTTAAACTAATTACATTTATCATTATTTTCATCTTATTCCATAGTTCCCATTAACCTTACTTCCCTTTTGTTTCATTTTATGTGTTTATTTATTTATTAGAGATCTTTGCTATAGTGCATGTGTGCTCACCAGAGAGTCAGACAGAAAGTGAAAAACCACTCCCAGGGGGATGGCCACATCACAATCACTTCTCCTCCATTCTCCTCTCAGGATTTTGAGCACACACACACACACACACACACACACGCCCAGTGTG